TATATGAAAATGGTAGAGGATGACAGAAACATCAAAGGATCTTCCACTTGGGTACTGAAAGTAATCCAGAAACAAACTTATTGACTAAGAGAAAACTGGGACAGCTAAAAAAAAAAAACCTTCCTTATTTGGAATCAACATTTTCAAACTTAATGGTCTGTTTTTTTACTTTTATTTTATTTCTTCTACACTGGCTAAATCAGCTCTAAATTGCTAATGAGCCCTTCTTCTCCTTTTATCCAGGTCCCAGTGAATTTCAAAGTGATTTAAAGTCCTGAGATGGAACAAACATTTTATAAGATGTCCTGAGACATTTAAGAAGCTAAACTGGTTGCTTTATTGTTTTTGTTTTTGTTTTTTTCATATTTTAAATTTGATTAAGTTATACTATGTTTTCAGACCCAGCGATTTCTTCTCATTTTAATACTTTTAGCATGGATTTAATTTTATGCAGTTTTCTTTCTTATTTATTTATTTACTCATAGTATTGGGGCTTGAATCCCATGGCACTCTTTACAACTGAGCTACATTCCCAGAACACTTTTTTTTTTTAGGAGACAGGGTCTCACTAAGTTGCCTTAGCAGGATTCAAACTTGCAAGCCTCCTGCCTCAGCTTCCCTTAATGTTGGGTAAAATTAAAATACCACAGTGCCTGGCTCCTTTTTCATTTTATAGTCAAATGTTAACTTGAACACCATGCGGTGGATGAATTGCAAAATCCGACGGGTGAAAATTGTATCAAATAAATCACATGGACTGTTTGAGGAAACAAATCTGTCTTCAACATAAAAAAATTTAGTTATTAAATGACTAGAATTCTATCACAACACCTCAATTAAAACAAGTATGTTTATCTATTTGTGTATATTTATTTACACACTGCACATAATTTACTGACCACCAACTACATACAAAACATGATGGTAGAACAAGATGTAATAAAACATGATCTTTATCCATAGTGAGAATATATTCCCCTATCAAAAGGTTTCTTTGTAATTAGCAAATTGTAACGGAATGTCTTCAACTTCCTTTTAAAAACTATATTAACTTTTATAATAACTGAAATTAAGAGAATACATTTTCAGAATTCTGATGTTGCAGAAATCTAGTAATATACATCTCTGTTCCCAAGGATGAAAATGATTGTGAAATTCTCTTACTCCAGTAAAATGCTATGATTCAATGAGTACTGAATCTTCTAATAAAGATGAGTAAGAAAAAGGATACTGTACACTTCTATGAAGTTGTATAAAAAAGCAGTATTATTTGGAGATACCAGGAAAATGCAGTATTTGTTGCTACCTGGAACATTTATGAATACTGATGCATTTAACTTTGCTTTGAGGAAGCACCTTCCATAGTAAGCAGATTTAAAACTGTTGAGTACTGGCTGGGCATGGTGGCACATGCCCATAGTCCCAGTATTTGGGAGACTGACGCAGGAGGATTCCCAACAATTCAAGGCCAGACTGGGCTACATAGTAAGTCCAAGGCCAGACTGAACTCCATAGTGAGAACCTGTCTCAAAACAATCAAACAAACAAAAAAAACCCTATTGACTATCTTTCACATTATAAATTTAATGGTTCAATACTCGATAAATTGCTATTATTCAAATTCTCTAGGCCAATTATCAAACACATTTATGGAAAAGAATTGAATTCTCCTAGGTCAAAAATCAATTCCATAATATGGAAGCTATATCCCAATTTTTAAAAATTATTTTATTTCATTTAAAATACATGGGTTTTTTTTTGTCCTGAGTGTGATCCCCATTGCTGCAAAAGTAAACACATGAATTAAACACAAAGTTAAACACAGGCTTAGAATTAAACACAAAATTTCTTTATGCTATAACCTATGTCTAAGCATCAAGGTACAATCTGTAAGCATTACAAATCAGATATTCTCAGTGCAAAGGAAATGTATTACTATAGATAGTTATCTATAAGACAGTGAATACCTTAGGTAACCCAGTTGTTCCAGACGTGTAAAGAATATACAGAGGATGCTCTGAGAGCACAGGAACACAGTCATGTGACTGGGCTTTTGCCATTTCTTCTTCCCAATCAAGATCACGGCCTGGCACCAAAGGAACCGCCTCCTACACAGCAAAAATACAGAAAATATACACTGTAGAAAGAAGGTTAAATCAAGGAAACAACAGAGAGTAGCTAAATTTAGATAAGTCTAAACATCTGGCTGAAAATCTACACCTGTATGGCACTAAACATTGGATTTATGACTAAAAATCTCAAGGTTGGGAGTTAAGATAAATCTTTACAAAAAGCCCCAGTAGTGTGATGAGTTGACAATATGAACATGTTTTATGCAAATCTAGGGATCTCTGTAAGAAATTTAATCTGATACAGTTATGTTTCCTTCAACATTCAAGGCTTAATTAGCAATGAGGTTCATGTTTCCATAGATGCACGTGCAGTGAGAATTTTATACATTATTCTATTTTTGTATCCTATTTGTTTTATTTTAGAAGTTCTGTCTTCACAATGAAATGTCAACTAACCTATTAAATTTCCCTTCATATAAGGGTAGTTGGGAATAATACTGCAGCCAAATAAGAGAATGTCAAATTATCTTCAGAAGTAGACGAGAATTTTACTCTTGCTTTTTCAAGAACAATAACCAATTTTTAAAATTATTGTGATACATCCAATATTTTCCTCCTTCCAGGTCATTAATTAATGTAATAGAAATGTTTTTCCTTTTTTCTTTTTTTTTCTGAGAACCAAGCTCTGTGTTATAAATTTTGGGTTAACAGAGTCATTAGTTAAGCAGATACACCTTTAAATAAATTAAACAGGTCTCTAAAAAGAGTGGCTCTGAAATTGCCACAAAGATGAAGAGTGAAGAAATGACTTAAGGAAAAATCACTCTAATGAAGAGTTACAGCTGTCCAAGTAGAGTTAATACCCATTAAATATCTGATTGTTATCAGAAATATTAAGATCAAGATCACACATCAAGAGGTTAATGATTGATTAACATGTTAACAAAGGCATAACTGAGCTCTACATTCCTTAGTAAAGTTAGTGAGAGCCACCAATCATAATGTATGTAACCATTCACTTCATCAAGGTGATACTTGAGCTAAGCACAAAGATGTTGAGATACTGGCTCCCTAGTATGTTAATCAGTTTGTAAAACCTGGTCATCTATTTACATAGGTATATTTATGAATGAATGAATGAATGAATGAATGCTTTAATATAACATCACAAATGCAATGTCTGCGTGAATGAACACATTAGTACATAATAATCTGAAATGAAGACCCGTAAGGTGAAATGTGAGGCCCAGAGCCCTCTCTAGACCCATGCTGATAGCCACTAGCTGATGCCATTTGGATAAGTAGCAATAGTTAGCTATGAGCAAATCAAACTTTCATTTATTTTTATTCATCAGATAAAAACAACTAATTATAAATGATCAAACTTTTTGACATGACAATTACAGACCAATAAATATTATCTCAGTGTGAAATGAAAAAACTGAATGATCACAAAAATTTACAGATCTATGATTTTTATAAGTCTGTAAGGAAAGACTTGAATGAATGTTGATTTTCTACTATAAGAATTATAGGTATAAAGATCTGACCCAATGAAGAGAGAGAAAAGTCAACATTTAGCTTTTACACATATGCATTTACTTTTATAGCATGTCTTTCCTAGTTGTTACAATTTTTTAAAGGATCTATTGGGAGAGTACCAGAGTGACTGATGTGATGCTCTTTTGATTCTGTCATTGCTTGCCTGAGGCCTCACAGTAGCAGCCAAATTTTTACTTCCTCTGGAAAAAATGCAATCCTTGTTAATGAATGCATCAGCCTCCTAATTTCTGTCTCTCTAAACTCAAAGCAAACCAATCAACTGGGTTTAATTACTGCCTAAATGGTAGGTCTCACATAAAGGGCAAAGGCATTCAAAAGCCCTCATCTATGTCACAATAAAAGAAAGAATCTGAAGAAGAAGAAAGGAGGAGGGAGATAGACTTAGCAAGCTAGTTGTGGGCTGGGGGTTGAACAGGGGAAAGCACATCTCTAATAAGAAGAGAAGAGACTTGCATTGAAAAAATCTGAATAGAAAACATGAATATCCATACACTATGTCTTTATAGAGCAAAAGAAATAATATATATCTTGTTGTTCAAAAGTCAGTAAACCAGAATTCAATCCTGGCAACACCATGTATTAGCAGGGCTTTGTGCTTTGGCTGCTTCATGGCTCAGTTTCTTCATAAGTAAAATATGATGAGTTTCTGAGAACTGAATTTAAGAAAGCATCTGATAGTTCATAGCACTGAGCTCAGCCTATCAGAAGTTCTTTATAAATCCTACTTGAATCCATATGGATGTGAACAGCATTCAGACACACAAACACAGCTTTTTTCACATGTGTTTCTCCCATTCCACTATCCTCTCTTACCTAAGAACTTTTTTGTTGCTGACTTTGCATTCCTTGATTTAAATAGCAACAAAGTATTTTTTTTAAAAAAATATGCTTGTGGTCATCTGAAAAAAACTTAAAATCCTTCTTCAAGACAGTAAGAATATTAAAATCATTGAGTGCAGCAGTTTATGAACCACAGACTACTAAATCTCTAACCAGGAATTCAATGTGGTAATGGAAATTGCTGGGTGCTAATCAAAATGTCATAGCTTCAACACTGTTCTCATATCCTGTCATTTAAGTATTTCCTGCAGATAACTTCTCAAGAATTTCACAAAATTGTACATGATTCTTTGAAGTCTTATAATTTCTCTTTCACAAAAATATTTTATTCTGCAGAGAACCCAAATGGAGCCCATCAGAAATAGCTGAGGACTTGCTTGTGTGTAGATATAAGGTGGTCACCAGGTCTAAGTTATTAGAGTGCCATAAAGGCAAATGGTATGCAGTCAATTAGTATTTGTTGATATTATTATAAAACTCAAAATAACAATACCACAACAAAACTGAATTTATTAATATTAATTAATGTATTTCTATATTTCAATTTAAATTAGTTTTCCATAAAGACAGTAAGCATTATTTATACCTTTCTTTCCTAGAAATAACAAAAACATTCAGGATATATATTTACCAGTTTATCAATCAAGTGTCCCTTTCAATTAGTCAAAACTAGAATCATCCTTACTATAGTACCATAAACAAGAACCAAATTAAATATTTAAATTACCATATTTGGACGATTATAAATGAGAACTTTGTCTGGCTTGTGTTGTCCTATTCTTAGGGCTTCTTCTAAAAGTGGTACGTATTCTACCTTCCGTCCAGGTTCAATGCCAAATGAGGCTGTAACAACCACCTTGGGCTAAAATGAAAAAAAAAAAAGAGAAAGATTTAACAATCCTAATTAAACTAATCAAACTATTTCAGGCACAGATGGGCAGTTTAAATGTTAGAATAATTTTGTTCTCTATTGAATAAATCATCTAAAAACCAATAAACCCTTTTAAAATATTACAGACTTAATCACTTCCATATAAATCTCAAAATTACACACTCAGTGATGTTTTGTCCTCATAGATATGCATTGTGCAAAATACCTTCTAAAGGATTTGTTAAGCTAGGTGAATCTGCCATGGTCCAATTGCATGTAAACATTTTAGCCCCTCAGCAGCAAAGAAATATGCACATGATGTGCATACACACACACACACACACACACACACTCCTAAGAGCTGGTTGCTGCTAAAGTTGTAGCTTTTTTTAGAGGCAGAGCACCAGCCTGGTAGCAATTAAGAAGCACTTCTAAGACTTTCTATGAGTGTCTCTTTTCAATGCCTTAAGAGTTTACAGAAGGATCTAAATCTCCAATACTCCTTTCTGACTTGTTTTCTTGTTCTAAATACACATTCATGTTCATAGAATATTATATTTGCAATTTTATATTTTTTAAAAGGATACTTGAATGACTTAAGTTTCAAGCTAACAAACCCTGAGCATGTCTGTGTCACTAAGATGTCAGCATACTACCTTGCCTGACAACTTGCTAATCATTCTTCAAGACATACAGGTGTGGCCAAAAAAATATCCTGGCAAGGATATCAGTTGGTTAACCCCTCCTTGATACATGTAGAGCATGCCTCAGATATCCAACTGTAATCAACATGCTTATTCCTCTCCACTACTGCACTGCAAGAAAGTCAAAGTTAGATATCATTTATTTTAGTGTCTCCTCTGTCTAATGTAGTGGTTGTCATATCATAAACTCTCAATAAAAAGTATGAAACTGAAGCAAAGGACATACTAATTTGCAGAAGCAAAATGTCTATTATATAAAATATGGTGTTTCTTCACAAAGAAATCCAAACCAAAGGAGACATATAATAAATGATTCAAGAGACAGATAATCAATCCATGATATTTCATCTGTTCTTGAATTCTGATTTCTGATTACCAGACATTTCATCTATGGAAAGTGTGTATATATACAGTATTTTTGCTTTTGAATAGCACTTAATATTCATAGAATGGAACTCAGCGCATTTATATAACTTGGCCCAGGTTACCAGAGGTGGAGATAGAAAGAGGACCAGGTCTATCTCACTGCAGAACCTTTCTCTATCAAGCTAAAAGGAAAACAAAAGTAAATCTTATTTCTTTTTATTATATTTTAAACGTAGTATTTGAATGTAACGCACATTTTAAAGTCTATAGTACTTGAAAAATAGCTCTAGATAATATTCTGCAAGATAAAGTCTAGAAAAATGAAGGTAAGATTAATTATCAAATTATAAAAACATGGAACATTTCAGAACTTTAATAATACAATAAAGTCTTCTGGAAAAAGAATCTGTTTTAGATTTCTATTAATAGCATTTCATTAGAGTTTTGTGGGGCCTACATTGATTTATGAGAACATATCCTTTCCATCTATATCTGCTAAAATAAAAATATTTTCTATATCCTATTTAAGAATTAACACAGAACACAGATTTCATTTATTAGTTTTCTCTAAATATTTTACATGTGTTTTTCTAGCTCCATCTTCTCTTCTTAAATTTGACCTGCCCAATGGCCTAGCTCATAAAGTATGCATTATTGACTAAGTTCCTAAACAAAGTTACATGGTTTTGAGTGCATGTATTACAAATGAAAACTCCTATTTTTTTTTAAATTTCCTCATATCTTATAAAATGTTTGGAAAGGGAGTAATATATACAATATCTTTGTTGGAATTTCTGGAGTCTACAGCTTCGGAGAAGTCACCAGCTTGCTACCCTTTTGCAGGTAAGTAACAGATTGATAATTCCCCCTAGATTTTTTCATAAGCACTAATTCAAGATGATTTTTTAAGAAAATCTCAGGTAGTCAGTTCACAAAACAGCTTCCTAGTTTTAATATCTGGTCCATTACCAGATGAAATAAGATACAAACCAATCAGGGAACCTTCCACATACACTAGTACCCTTGCCTATTAAGAATGTTTTATCTTAGGCATGTAAACCTCTAAAGGTCAGCCATCTCTTCCTCCTACAATGGACTTCTTTCCTCATCTTCCTTTAGCCCATATACTCAAAAATCATGATATAAAAACACATAATTCAAAAATTAGTTTTCTCTAGATATCTCCGATAGGTGTCTCTATCTCCATCTTTTCTTAAATTTGATGTGCCCCATGGCCTAGCCCATGAGATTATGCATCTGTTGAGTAAATTCCTTAACAAGGCTATATGTTTGTGTGTGGATGTAATATGTATGAGAACTTCTTCAATTATATAACATTTTCTCATTCATATTTCCTATTGTTTTACAAACATACCACTTGCCAAAGGTTCTTACTTCAACCTCTAGTTTCTCCTTCATGCACGTCATCTAGAAAGCTTTCCAATTCTTGGCAGTCTTTAAATTATGACAGTCCTGCTTAAAAATTTTCACTGATATGTCTACAATTCAGACAAAACCTGCCTTTGCAAGCTCACCTGCTTTCCCTTTTCTGGCTGCTCCTCCAAATGAGTATTACTCTTTCCCTCCTCTAATGTTTGATTTGTATTCTTTCTCCGTTTGGGGGGCACCATGATGTCATTCTCTTAAAGTACATGAATCTTAGCCAAGATTTTTAATTTAATTATCTCCTTTTTCTGGAATTCTTCCTTAGCCACCAAACCAAAAAGGAAATTCTCCTTCTAATTAGGAATCTACTTCCTCTAATTGGGATCTTTTGGTATTGTCTTAATGAGACACAGACATACCCATTTGCTTATGCGTTTTCTAAAGCTGTGTGCTACTATAGCAGAGCTGAGTGGTTGCCTAGAAAGATTCCCTTCACATAAAACTAACTCAAAAATAAATGCTTGATTAATGCTTACACATCCAAGAAAAAGTAAATTTTAAGCATCCTATTTGTAAGGAAGATCAAAATGTAAAATCATTCTTGACTGACTTCTCCATAGCTTAGTATGGCTATTCTCTGGGTATACACAACTTGACTTCCCCAGAGAAATCACTTACCTTTGAATGATCGATGCGACCACTTAGTTCTTTAGATGCAAATCCCCCGAATATGAGGCTGTGGATAGCTCCTATCCTTGCACATGCCAGCATGGTATACATTGCTTGTGGGATCATGGGCATGTAGATGACCACAGTGTCTCCTTTTTTGATACCATACTTGACCAAAACACCAGCTAGTTTAGAGACCTGTTAAAAAATCATTAGATGACTAAAGGGTATTCTTTATAATTTTACTAAACCACAAGTTAAGGCAATATTTTTGTTGTTGTTGTTGTTATTATTGGGGCTTTTTTGGTACCAGGGATCGAACTCGGGTCCTTGTGCTTGTGAGGCAGGAGGCGGAACCACTGAGCTAAATCCTCGGCCCCATGTTAAGGCAAGAGTTATAGGAAGTGATAGCCACCTCCCTCCATCTGTTGGTCCCTTCCCCATTTGAGAAAGATCTATCACTCTACTTCCTAGTATTTATCTCTTATTTTGCTCTTCATTTATATTTTGGGTTTCTCATACAAGAGAAACAATGCAATATTTAAGCTCATGTGTTTGATTTATTTCTTTTAACATCATGGTATCAAGGTGCATCAGTTTTCCTATTAATGACTCAAGTTTATCTTTCTTTGTTGCAGAGTATTATTCCACTGTGTATAAACAGCACATTTTCTTTAACCATACATCTGTTGATGGCCATAGGAAGTTTTCAAGATTTGCCTATTGTGAGTTGTGCTGCTATAAACATGAGTATGTGTGTATCCCTGTAATATGATGCCTTTAACTCTTTCAGGAAGATACTGGAAGGGGAATAGCTGGGTTAAGTGGAATTTCTAGTTTTAGTTTTTTGTGCATTCTCAATACTCATTTTCATGATGGTTATGCTGGTTTACATCCCCACCAACAAAGTTAAAGTGTTCCTTTTTCTTTGCAGCCTTACCAGGGTTTGTTATTATTTGTGTTCTTGATGATGGTCATTCTTTCTAAGAGGGAATCTCAGTGTAGTTTTAATTTGCACTTCTCTAATGCTCAGCAACATTGAGTATTTCTTTATGTATTTATTGTCCTTTTGTACTTCTTCCGATGAGTGTCAGTTCACTTAACTTGCCCATTTTTGATTGGGTCTTTTATTCTGGTGTCAAATTTCTTGAGTTCTTTATATATTCTACATATCACTCCTTTGTCCAAGGAATGGTGAGTAATTTTTTCCTATTCTGTAGATTGTCTCTTCCACTCTATCATCTTATAGCATTTGTTCTTTCTACCTCAAGAAAATTATTTTTCATTGTATTTTGTATACTAACTTTTTATACAAAGTAATTTCCTTTGAGACCAACACACAAATACTTCTTTTTACTTTTAATATGTGTTTTTAAGACCAAACATACAAATGTATCTTTCCCCTTAACATAAGCTTTTTCAACTTCTAGTGATGAAATCAAAATAGATCATAAGCCTACACATTATATAATTTGTTGTAAAAAAAAATCCTTCAGGACAATTGTAGCAGGCTGTAGCACTGCCTTAGGATAAAAAATTAAGAGGGATGAAGGTGTAAAGGTCTTCAGTTTAGTCCTCAGTAACACAAAAAAATTCACTTAAAAATATTCTAAATATTCTCTCACTTAAAAATGTGCTTGGTGTTTAGCAAGCCGTCCCAGAAATAAACAGAATAATTTCTGTATATATTATATTTAAAAATCACCAACCTTATAGAAGAGTATAGGGGAACAGAGCAAAGGGTAATGGAGAACAGGGGAGGGATGGATTTCATTGTCAGTGGGAGAATCGGGGAGACTTCATTAAGAAAGTGACCTTTTAGCAAAGACCTGTGCAAGGTAGAGAGTAAGTGGACACCTGTGAGTACATTATTCTAGGCAGTGAGAACAACAGTATAAATGTGTAAATGGAATGAAGATCATAAGTGATACTCTCCCTTGGAAAAGTAAGGAGACCCTGAAGCTGGAACAAGAACAAGTGACATGGCAGCTATCCATCAGGTCCATGCTAAAGTGCCTGCAGGGGCCCGGTGGGCAACTGGAAGAATTCTACTTTGCTTTTGAACATAATTGTTCAAAGTAATGAATAGAGAAGGCTTGGAAAAGGAATTAGGCCACATAGCTATTTGTGGGTTCTTTTATTTCACTCTAACTGTCCTTGAAAACATTCAAAGACTTCTAAAACCTGACTTATTTTTTTTCGCTGTTTCTTTATTTACATTCTCTGTGTAGATAGAGGAAATGTGATTAAAGTTAAGGGCACCAGTGAAAGAAAGTTTTTAAAAACTTAGTGTTTTCTTCTTCCTTGTACTCCAAACTCTATAATTGAGTGCTATCTTTTAAGAACTCCAAAACTAGCCAGAAGAAATTTGTAAGAAAAATATGCCAAAGTAACATAAATCATGAACTTAAACTCTATATAGTATAAGAACCAAAATAAACATCGGGAATCTATATCTGAACAATTCAGTGTATAATCCCTGAAAAAATGACTATGTTCTGTGATGATACTGCTGAATATACTCTTGTGTGTGTGTGTGTGCGCGTGTGCGTGTGTGTGTGTGTGTGTGTGTGTGCGTGTGTGTGTGTGTGTGTGTGTGTGTGTGTGTGTGTGTGTGTACTGAGGCTTGAACTCAGGATCTTGCGCTTGCAAGGCAAGTGCGGCACCGCTGAGCTAAATTCCTGGCCGCTGCTGCATATACTCTTTAAGTACAGCTCCGAGACAGACGAAGGAAAGGGAGTTTAAACTCAGAGCTGGAACTTCAATATCTTGAATACTGATTTTATAGTTTAGATCTAAAATTTCCCCCAAAATTCTCATGTGTGTGGAAAATGAATTGTGGAGATGCTATACTCATCAGTGGATTCTTCCAGTGATGAGTTCAGTAGCAGAAGGTGGTAGAAGGTGAGGCCTGGTTGAAGGTGGGTCACTGAAGATGTGTCCTGGAATGATGTATTCACATACTTGCTTCCACCTTTCTCATTCTGCTTCCTGGTTTCCGTTGACTGAGCACCTTTTCCTCTGCCATGATTTGCAGCCTGCCAACAGTGGACTAAGACATGAGCCAAAGTAAAACTCTCCTTCCTTGAGTTGCAAGTATTAGGTATTTTGTCACAGTGACAGGAAAGTGACTAAGAAAAATTTTGATATGAGAGAAGTATGTTGTTACTGTGAGTGTACCTAACTGTGTGGTTTAAAAGCCTTTAACATTTTGTGAGAAGTGTTTGGAAAGGTTTGCAGACACTATCTAGAGAAACCCTAGAAAGCTATTAGCCAAGCTTCATGGAAGATTCTGGTCTGATCTCAGAAGACAAGAATGCTGATAGAAATGCATACAGTAAAGGCAGTTTCTGTTGAGAACAAGGAATCTTTCGGCAGTTGGACTAGAAGCCATCTATGTTATGCTCTGGCAGACAATTTGTCTATGTTTGCTCGTGTTCTGAGACTTTGCAGGATACTGAGATTACGAACAGCAAACTAATCTGCTGGAAAATATTTCAAGACAGCTCAATGTTCAGATTGTGGTGTGAGCACTGTTGGCAGATTTTAGGAAATTCTATAATGAAAATCAGCAACAAATGACATAGCTGAAAAATTTAGAAATTTTGCAATTTCATCAAAAAAGAAGTGTCTCCAAACTTAGGGCCATGGAGAACATGGCTGCTGGGAAGATTGCATTAAAAATAAAAGCCAAGTATTTTACATCAAGACAATTAAAAAGATTACTTGAAGGCATCTCAGGAATCAGCAAGATCTCACCCTTGATAGGTGCAAATATGCAAAACTTGAAAGGTTTTATTTGAGAAGAGAGTCCCAGGGTGTTCTGTTCATTCAGAGTGACAGAGGGAAATGTTTCTCCAAGTTCAGCCATTTAAGTACTTAGAGCCCTCTGCAGATAGGACCTAAAGGAGACAGGCTACTCTTTGAGCAGGCAGTCGATGTTGGTATCAGCCATGTACTGCTGGTTTTACAGGCATACAAAACACAAGAGTTGTAGGATGAGAAAGGCTTCCACTCAGACTTCAGAAGTTATTTGAGGCCAGGCAGTGTGGGCCTGAGATCAGTGCATGATGCTGTAAGAGACCAGCTGAAAGTGTATGGGAGAGTCCAGAAAGGTGAAGGTGTCGGGAGCATGGAACAGCTGCTGAGGAATGCTGCAAACAATGAGCACAGCCACCACAAAAGAGAGGCCATGAGGGCTACAACTGGCAATCCAGTAGACACAGGGCTACCCATTCCCTCTGGACCTCACATCTCATCAAAACCTGCTCTGGGTACTGGACATGGAGCTATAGGATTTAATATTTTCTCTGCTGGGTTGTGGTTTCACTTTGATCCCCTTCTTTTCTATACACCTATTTCTCTCTTTTGGAATGGGAATGTTTACCCCATGCCACAATGTGTTGGAGGTATGCAATTTTCTTTCTTATTTTAACAAGGACTCACAGCTAAGAATTTTCCTTGAATCTCAGAGAAAACTGGACTCAGACTTTTCAACATTGCTGGAACTGTTAAAAGTTTGATGACTCTTAGAGATGGACTAAATACATTTTGCATAAAGAGAAGGACATGAGTCTTTTAGGGGCCAGCAACAGAATGTTATAGTTTAGATCTAACCCTCACCCCCAGATTATCATGTGTGGAAGGTAACTGGATCATGGGTACTCTGTATTCATCAGTGGATTCATTCTTCCAAGACTTCAGTAACTGAATATGCTTTAGGAAGGGATGCCTGGTTGTACAAGAGTCACTGAGAATGTGAACTAGAAGGGTAGATTTTTATCTCTGCCTCTTCTCTTATTTTGCTTCCTGGTTGCTACAGAATGGGCAGCTGTGCTCCACCCTGGCCCTTCCACGGTACTGTTTCTGCCTTGGATCCATCCAAACATGGACTGAAAATGTGGGCCAAATTAAAGCTTTACACCTTTGATTTTGGGTGTTTGATATTTTATTCAAGCAACAAGAAAGTAACTAAGGCAGTGCCTACTACTGAATAAAAATAATATTCAACTAAACCCAATCAAGCAATGATCCAGTAACTTTATATTTCTATATCATTTCACAATATTGCTGGAAGATACCCACAAGTTTCCTCTCTTCTGAAAGACATGAAATCAAGAAATTCAAAGGCTGGGGAATTTAGCTCAGTGGTTCCGCCACCTGCCTTGCAAGTGCAAGGACCTGTGTTTGATTCCTGG